ATATCACAATGCCCCAAAAAAAATCCAGGGTACACCCACACCTTGAATACTGTGTGCAGTTCTGGTCGTCCCATCTAACAAAAAAAAAAAAGCTATATTAGAATTGGAAAAGGTTCAGAGAAGGGGAACAAAAATGATTAGGGGGATGGAACAGCTTCCGTATGAGGAGAGATTCAAAAGACTGGGACTGTTCAGCTTGGAAAAGAGACAAGTAAGGGGGGATGTGACTGAGGTTTATAAAATCATGCCTGGTGTGGAGAACGTAAATAAGGAAGTGTTATTTACTCCTTCTCATAACAGAAGAACTAGGGGTCACCCAATGAAATTAATAAGCAGCAGATTTCAAACAAACAAAAGGCAGTATTTTTTCACACAACGCACAGTCAACCTGTGGAACTCCTTGCCAGGGGATATTATGAAGCAGGGATCAGAAAAGAATCAGATAAGTTCATGGAGGATAGGTCCATCAATGGCTATTAGCCAAGATGGGCAGGGATGCAACCCCAATGCTCTGGGTGTCACTAGCCTCTGTTTGCCAGAACCTGGGAATGGGCAACAGGGGCTGGATCACTTGATGATTATCTATTCTGTTCATTCCCTCTGGGGCACCTGGCATTGGCCACTGTCGGAAGACAGGACACTGGGCTAGATGGACCATTGGTCTGACCCAGTCTGGTCGTTCTTATGTTCTTACCCAGAGCCTGTAGGAATCTCTCTCCTAAATTCAGGAGCAATCTCTAACCAACCCCTGTATATTCTCCCAGGGCAGTGCACACTCCTGTTTTACACCAGTAAGCGTGGGAGTAGGATCAGACACTGAGCGTTTACTGGTCCTAAAGCACAGTACGAAAACCAATTAACCAATCCCTTGGCAGCAGGTGGCATTATTTATTTGTATTTCGGTTATGCCTCAGTCACAGAACACAGGCAGTGCATCATTATCCCCATTTTACACGCAGGTAAACTGAGGCACTAAGACAGCAGCCCGAATTTCCAGCATGGCTCCTGATTTTGGATGCCCAGCTTGAGAGCCCAATTTACAGCGGTGACATGCACCAGCTGCTCGCAATAGGACAAATTCAGCTCTGGGATGACTCCACCAACTTGAATGGAGTTACCCCAGAGATCAGATGCAATTCCCATTAAAGTCAATGAACCCAACTGGTCGGCGCTTCTGAAAATCTGGGCCTAAGTGAGATGCTCAAGCCCCTTCCCCCTCTCCCCGCCTCCACCCACAGACACGGCAGATCAGTGGCAAGGCCAGAAGGGAAGAGATCTCTGCCCAGAAGCCAGGCCCTGCTGGCTGGCAGAGAGGAGAGAAGCATGTTGCTGATGGAGTCAGCAGATTAGCTCTGTGCTAACTGAGGTTTCTGCTTGTGCCTTGCTCCCTCTGTCTGTTCCCCTCTGTCCAATACAGTCTTTGGCTCGTGGGGCGTCACCTACCCCCAAAGCCTGCAGAGCGTGCAGGACTCCTGCCTCCAGATACCCTGCACCTTCAGCTACCCCAGCACAGAGAACCCCGAGGGTGGCATTGTGGCCATCTGGTACAAGGATTACGAAAGCCAGCACGCCGTGATTTACCACTCGGCCACTCCCAGCGAGGTCAACAGCAGGTTCCAGGGCCGGACCGAGCTGCTGGGCGACCTAGCCGGGCACAACTGTACCCTGCTGCTGAGGGGCGTGAGGAGCGAGGACAGCGGCAAGTACAACTTCAGGTTCGAGATCAACCGGGGCAACCGGTGGTCAGACCTGCGTGGGGTGATGGTGACGGTTACCGGTGAGTATGGAGACGAGCTAGCCAGAGTGTGTAAAATCACAACTACTCCACTGTGTGTCATGGGCCCTGTACTGCTGCCAGCCATGGGCGAGTCTCCCGTAGCTTGAGTGCTTGTGGAGCAGCTGAGTTCTATCCCCACTGCTGCCAGGATAGCTCAGTGGTTTGAGCATTGGCCTGCTAAACCTAGGGTGTGAGTTCAATCCTTAAGGGAGCCTGTCAAGGCTGCTTCCCCAGTTTGAACTTTAGGGTAGAAATGTGGGGGCCTGCATGAAGACTTCTATGTTTAACTACCAGCTTAGATCTGGTCCGCTGCCACCATTCCCAAATGGATTCCCTTCCCTGGGAAGCCTTGAGAAACCTTTCACCAATCCCCTGGTGAATACAGATCCAAACCTCTTGGATCTTAAGACAAGGAGAAATTAACCATCCCCCCTCCTTCCTTTCACCAATTCCTGGTGAATACAGATCCAACCCCCTTGGATCTAAAAACAAGGAAAAATCAATCAGGTTCTTAAAAAGAAGGCTTTTAATTAAAGAAAAAGGTAAAAAATCATCTCTGTAAAATCAGTATGGAAACTAACTTTACAGGGTAATCAAATTTAAAGAGCTCAGAGGACCTCCCTCTAGCCTCAGGTTCAAAGTACAGCAAACAAAGATAAACACTCTAGTAAAAGGTACATTTACAAGTTGAGAAAACAAAGTAAAACTAACACGCCTTGCCTGGCTGTTTACTTACAAGTTTGAAATAGGAGAGACTTGTTTAGAAAGATGTGGAGAACCTGGATTGATGTCTGGTCCCTCTCAGTCCCAAGAGCGAACGAACTCCCAAATAAAGAGCACAAACAAAAGCCTTCCCCACCCCCAGGATTTGAAAGTATCTTGTCCCCTTATTGGTCCTTTAGGTCAGGTGTCAGCCAGGTTACCTGAGCTTCTTAACCCTTTACAGGGGAAAGGATTTTGGAGTCTCTGGCCAGGAGGGATTTTATAGTACTGTACACAGGACAGCTGTTACCCTTCCCTTTATAGTTATGACAGAGCCACTTAGGGAACTGGGGTAAAAATCTGTCTGGGGATTGGTCCTGCTTTGAGCAGGGGGTTGGACTAGATGACTTCTGAGGTCCCTTCCAACCCTAATATTCTATGGTTCTATGAATGTCCAAGGGTACCACGCCGTGATGGAGGAATAAACTGGAATTGCTATTATCCCATCGCAGATTCCCCAGAATATCCCTGTTCTTTCCATCCCTAGATGCCCCCACCAGCCCGGCCATTGCTGCCCCGGAAGATGTAAGGGAGGGTGTGAGAGTGAACTTCACCTGCTCCAGTCCGTACGCCTGCCCATACGATAGCACCGCTCTGCAGTGGAGCGGCTACAATGCCCTGCTCTCGACCGTATCTGGGGCAGTGCAACTGGACACCGCTGGAGTGCTCAGCCGGCAGATCCTCGTTACCTCCTTGTCATGGCAGGACCACTCCAAAAAACTGCTCTGCGAAGTGTCTGTTGGCTCCAAGCAGGCAACCGGGGAAATCGTTCTGCGGGTGAAACGTGAGTAGTGCTGCTTTCCAAACACTGGCGCGAGGACCAGCAGCTACGGCCTCTGTTTCTGCATTGCCCAAGTCATGTCTTTCCAGCCCACAATGCTTGCAGTTCTGCCATGTGATCTCTGACACATGGCCAGATTCCAACGGACGTCTGGCTTCCCTAAATTCTCCTCTGTGATTTCCACTGAACAAAGACTTCTTCTCGCCTTGCAGCCCTATCCTGTGCTGTGGCATTGCTGGGTGCTGCTTCAGCCGCTGCCCTGTTCCACCCCAGAGGTGGCTGCATTCCTGTGGGGAGCAAATTGGGTCTTGTGTCTTATAGAGCCACACTTGGGGAAAAAAGCTCCTCTGGTTGATTCGATGCTGGGTGCAATTAATTGTGGATGCAAGTGAGAGGATGCAGAGGTCTGACTACCTGCATAGTTGGACATCTGCATGCGATCGCTGGCAGAGCGCAGGAGTGGAAGGCAGGCTGGGGAGCCCGGTGAATATCATTTGTAAAGCTCTCTGAGAAGAGAGGGGCTGTACAAACGCAGAACATGATGCCCCTTAGAAACAGTCTGCGGCCTTCACCCTGGAGCAGCTGTGCCGACATTCTCAGACTCAGTGGCCTAAGGCAAGGTGCCTAAGACAGCACCCACCAGTTTAGTAAAAGTGGCCAGAGGTCCCAGGGGCTGGTGTCAATCCCTGGATGTCGCTGCAGTTAGTCCAGATGTCTCCTGAAAGCTGCATCTGGCCAACAGTTTCCTAGTTCCTCCCGGTCTCCTGGACCGACTTATCGCTGCTGTACAGACCCTCCCCTCCGACTCCCTCTTACCACTTGGGGGTGCAAATGTCAGCTCCAGAAACGTTTCTCATTCAGGCCAACTGCCAGCTGCCCTTCTAATATCACTTCTTCCTTCTCTACCCACCACCAACTCATTACAGCTCCCCACTTTCCTCTCAGAACGCGCCCTGTGCGCTGTGCCCAGCCCTGCCTCCCCACCCACCGTCTGCCTGGCAAACAGGACTCTCCTCCCAGCCCCAACGGGGACTGTGGTGCTGAGATAGCTGGTAGCCAGACCCCCTCGCCCTGTATGTCAAAGAACTCCAGTGCTCCATGGAGCGCATGGAGCCTACACACACTTTTCAGCCCGAGAACTCTACCCATGATGCCCTGTTCTTCTGCTCATAGGCTAATGCCAGCAGCCACCTCCTGCCTCTGTCATTAGCTTGACCATGGGCCAAGACCTTTCCAGCGTCTACCCATGGAGCTGTCTCCTTTCCCAAAAGCAGAGGCGCCCCAGGCTATGCCGCCCAGGGAACGTGGTTAGGAAGCAGCCCTAAGTCCTGGATCTGGCTTCCTGACCTGCAGGGAACCATCTCTAAGGATGAGAAGCTGGTTCAGGTCCTTTGGCTCACTCAGGCTTTGGTCTCTGACACTGGCAAGGGGGCTAGTTGAGGTGGGGGGTCTTTTGCCCTGTGTGGATTTGTCAGATACAGAGACTCCTAGAACCATAGGGTGAGACGGGACTGCAAGGGCATCGAGTCTAACCCCCTGCCAAGATGCAGGACTTGTGGTGCCAACGTCATTTCCAAGAGGCCACAGATAGAAGAGCTCTCAGAGGGTCATGAGCAGCATGGACCAGACTGGAGACAGTGACAGAGTGACGAACGCCTCTGAGCTAACCCGACTTCCCTAAGTCAGGACCGCTGGCTTCAGTCTCAGCCAGCGATTCCTGGCTGTGGTGTTGCCCACTGGCTGCCACCTCCATTCACTGCGTGTCCTTTCTTCCTCCGACTCCCCTGCAGATTCCCCGAAAGGCACAAAAGTGGTAATCACCCCCTCCACAAAGAACATCCGGGTGGGCGACAGCGTGTCTCTCACGTGCAGCGTGAACAGCACCTTCCCCGAGGTCACCGCGTACAAGTGGTACAAGGGCGGGACCGCCTTGGGGAGCCAACAGATTCTGACTCTCCAGAGCGTTGCTCGCGAAGATTATGGCCCGTACCACTGTGAAGCGGAAAATTCCGTCGGGACCGGGGTGGCGGAAGCAGTTGTTCTCTATGTTTTTTGTAAGTATGGAGGACGGGGCTGCAGATGAATCACCAGCTAATACCACGGTAGCACCATGGCTTCACAGGGACCCTGTGCAGCAAAGAGAACCAAAACCAGTGCTCCGTCTAGGCCAGGATGGCCACAGGTGGATGCTTCAGCAAAACAATAACGTTCCCTCCACCCTAATGCAACTGACTGACTGTCTCAGTATTTTTCATTAGAGCGGGCTGGGAATTTTTCAAGGAATGGGTTTTTTTTTTAAATGCTGATTCATCAAAATCCAAACAGTTTGCAAAGCCGGGTCGGTTTCAAGGACTCTCACGACTCAAAAAATGATCAGAAAACTTTTTTGAAATGGTCAAGCTGGCCAGTTTTGACATTTTTTGCACTGGAATGTTTCCACTTTTCAAGTCAAAATGACCTTTTGTTTAGAAATGTTAGTCAATTTTGACTAAAAAAATAGTTAAAGAAAAAAAAGGTTCAAATCAAACTGAAACATGCCATTGACCCAAACCAAATCTTTTTCTCATTCACAAAAATGTGAGATTTTGACTTTTCGTCCCACTTCTGGACAGGAACATTTTTCAAGGTCTCCGATTTATTTTATAAGATGGGAAAATGGTTTCCTACTCAGCTCAATTGATCACCCTCATGTCCGAGTGCCTCGCAAGCACTACTGAATCTACCCTTTGGGATAAGGAAGCATCGCTAGCTCTGTTTTACAGATGGGGAAACCGAGGCACGGAGTGACTAAATGACTTGCCCAAACACAGCAAGTCTGCCAGGGTGGTAGAAATTGAATCCAAAATTTCCCAAGTCCTAGTGCAGTGTTTTAATCACAAACCCAGCCTTCCTCTCCCCTCACTCTTGCATCCTGGAGAGCTGTGTGTGGGGGGGGTCCTTCTTCAACCCAGAGGGTGTCCCATTCACAGGGCCGGCTCCAGGCACCAGCTTAACAAGCAGATGCTTGGGGCCACCAAGGGAGAGGGGCGGTACCTGCGGCAATTCGGGGGCGGCAGGTCCCTCACTCCCTCTAGGAACGAAGGACCTGCCGCTGAACTGCTACCGCCGATCGTGGCTTTATTTCCCCCCCCCCCAATTGCCGCCGCCAATCGCGGCTTTTTTTTTGCTTGGGGCAGCAGAAATGCTGGAGCCGGCCCTGCCCATTCATGTCTTGAAGCTGGAGGATCAGTAGCCCTTAAAATCTGGCTTCACCCCGTCCTGGGCACAGGTTATTTGCTAGGATCACGTGAGTGTATCTCACATACTCAGTTTCCTGCCACTGCACGGGTCTGGAGCCCCGGTGCATCTCCTTCCCCCCGATCTCTGCCCGTGGCACAAAGTAATCGAGTATCCCCTTGGTCTAATTCTGGTGGATGGGCTTGCTAGGGGGTGGTTGGGTGGTGCTTAGTGCCCTCTGCTATACAGAAGGTCAGCCTGGATGATCTGGTGGTCCCGTTTAGTCTTAATCTCTAGGACTTAATCTGCTATCATCTCCTTCAGCTGCCGTGGTCTCAGTGAGCCCTTCTGCAGAGATACAGACAGGCGAGACGGTCACTTTGACGTGCGCCGTTCCCGGCGAGGAGAACCAGGATCTCAGCTACACCTGGTACAAGAACAATGTCTGGATCAAGGAAGGCACGGTCCGCTCCCTGGTGTTTCACGAAGTCACCAGCAGCGACACCGGCTATTATTCGTGCAAGGTGCAGAACGACAAAGGGAGTCAGATGTCCCAGGCCATCAGCCTGAGCGTGTTCTGTAAGTGTATCACAAAACTCACACCTACGACTGCAGGGCACCTTGATCTGACGTTTTTAAAGGGTTAATAAATGATTAATAGATGGGAGGAGCTAGCAAACAGAAAAGTTTTGCCCGGGAGGTCTCCGGGGTGAAGGAGAGACGATGTGATCCTTGGGGGGAGTTTGGCTGGTAGTTTACTTGTTGCTTGAAGATTCCAGTGTAGTTTGGGGGGTTGTGCGCTGAGCCTGGGGGGGGGGCGTGGAAGAGCTGCTCAGGGAGAAGAGGGGTTTAAAAAGCCAGCTCTTAAGTGATCAGAGGAACTAGTGAACAGGGGAGTTTTGCAAGGGAGTTTAGACAGGGCCGGGTCTGGCTTTTTTGCCGCCCTAGGCAAAAAAGCCACCCGC